GCATATACAAGTAACTCTTTTTATTAACTTGATTAAGCCTAAATATTAAATATCTGCATTATAATGTGCTATTCAACACATTGGTAGTGTACAGGTTCAAAGGATTTGATAGTTCTTTTGCTGAAGCTCACATTGAAATTAATTAGGGATAGTTGAAAATGTTTTTTTTTTCCTTATCTGCTTTTCAACATTTCATTTAAATGTAGTAGTTGAAAAACTGCTAAATTTTACTATTTCACAATTCAAATATATTTGAGTAAAATTTTCCAACTTTTCATGCAGTTGTTCTACATTTAACTGACCTCTTTAGATACAGGATATGAATAGTTGTAAATTTGCATTAATCCTAGCTTGGGCTAGGGTTACATACCACACTAACCATTTCATAGAGCTTATACTTGCTTGGCTATGCTTCTATGTCACTATTCTGCCTCAGATGTGGACTATACCTAAGTAAAGGGGTAGTGCAGAGGTATATTAATTAATCTTTTATTGAAATAGTTAATCTAGGATTGTAAGATACTGTGCAAAGACTTCTATTTGACTTAACTATATAGTATAAATACACAATTCCAAAACATACATACCTCTGCTGACACTAAAAGCTATTTCTCAATCTTCATCATTGCCATCTAACATTGTGTTCACTTGCTCCAGTCTTTATATACCCCACTTGACTGCCCTCGGCAATATTTAATTTGCAAATTTTAATACCAGCCCTCACACGCCCTCTATGCAGCTTCTGTATGCAGACAATAAAATCATTTTTTCTCGACAAAGTGCGAGCATTCAGACTAATGTTTTGTGATTTACATTTTCTTAGTTTCCATTTTTTAATAATTGGGAATTCTTTAATTAGTTATCCAGAGATATCTTTTGTTGAATTTATTTTTTGTTTTTTCCTACAAATATATTACAAAGAAAAAATATTGGATATGAATTCCTGTGTAATGGTTGCATGCATGGAGGCTACACAGCCTTCGTCTATTCCTCCTTTGTTATATAGTGGTGGTCAGCAGCCGTGGAAGCTGTCCGTGACCTGAATCGGAGTGAGATTGAGTCCTTCATGCGGCCCAGTGGTATCTCTCTGGGAGGTGCCAATTTGAATTTTCATTTTGAAACGGGATATTCTGGGGAGAATTTAGCCTCCCTGTTTCCTGCTCCTTCTTTCACTATAGCTTCCTCTCCTGAGGACTCATCTGATCAGCCACCTTCTGCCCATTTTTCTGCAGTTAGTTACACGTGTTTGTGAAGTTTTGGAGATGCAACCAGTTGCTTTTGAGTCTCCCCCTGCTTTGTTGGCTGATTGTTCTCAAGAAGATTACTTAGTTTTTCCTCCTCCTCCTGATATTGCTTTGCATGCAGGGAGGCTTGCAACACAATTACGTGAGGGTGTCGCTATGCCTCCCCCATTGTTTATCTGAACAACATGCCCTGGTGTATCATTGTCTGTATGATATATATTTGGACACTCAAAGGTTGGATCCATTGTTGGATCTATGGGGTGTCAAGTACAAACCTGTTATCTTTCTTAACAAGTCACAATTTTTGCAGATTCATTTGACTCTTACTACTGTTTTAAGATACTTCTCTTCCCTTCAACTTTTGTCTGAAGTATATCCTCGATCGCCTCAACAATTTGACAATGAACTGGACTATTAACTGGTCAATACTATGATATGTTTGTCCTCCTCAGGACTTGCCTTTGTTTCATAGTTGGTCTGTTGCTGTGACTTGTTGAGTCATGATGCATTTTTGGAGGGTATTCACTTACCATCTTCTGCCCTTTGAGATTTATGGGAAGCACCTTTCCGTCGGCCTTATTTTTTTCGCTGGAATTCCAAAATCTTTAGAAGCCAGAGTTGATACAGCACATTTGCAGTCTTCTTTATCGTCTTTGGCTGCTCAACCCTATTCTACTTCCACTTGTACTTCTGCAGGTTCATTCCTTCATGTCTCAAGGCCCCCTCCTTCCACTCCTTGTTCCATTGGTTCTTTTAATTGTTTCCGTCCTTCTCGAGAGAGATATTTTGCAGGCTGGTATGTGGACTTCTCCTGATATGTCCATATCTCATTACCTTCATGATCTGGCAGTTTCCTCTTTGAAGGGACTTTGTCTTCACCCTGTGGCTGTGTTGATTACCTCTACTAGATTTTAACAGGATGATGAGTAACATGTTGTCTGACTTACAGTTATTGTTCCTTTCTCTTCTAAGGTCCCTATTGATTTTTTTTTTATCCCACTCAGTGGCAAGTGTTGCTCAGTTGGGTATGCTTGTATTTAAATTCTGCACTAGCAACCTTTATATTGGTTCCTGGTTGCAATGGGCTCTGTTGAGATGAGGTGCTCCATAAGACCATCTGGACGCAATTCTGGATGGTGATATTATATTACAATATTTCTAATGGACCGCTGCTCATGGGCTATCATGAGTAAAGCTAAAGGGGATTTTGCCAGACCCCACTGATCTTAGAGCTGAATCAGTTGAGATCAGTTTGCTTTTAAAAATTTGGGAATGTGGTTCACCTGTTGCACTGCCTCCAGAGACCTGTTCCTCAGGGCTCCCTAATGCTGTTTCCCCCTTACTTCTACTAGTGGAGCTCAGGAGTCCTTACCACACCCAGTTTCCAGTCGCTGGGGTGGTGGACAGAGGATTTACTTTTGGAGTCCTGAGTTTTTTCCACTCTTGGAGAAGAGGGCGAAGTTGGGAACACTCCTACTTGGGTCCAAATGTTATGCAGTCCCGATCTTTGGTCCTTAGTGGGACAGGGTTCCACATCCTCTCCTTAATTGCATAAGTAAGCAGAATTCTCCTTGCCCACCTAGTAGGGGAGTAAAGACAATTGTTTGTAAATCCAGACTCTGGATGAGTTCTGGACTCTGGTGGAGTATGGCATATGATCCTATCAATCCAGACCAGGGATGTTGTCTTTTGGACTTCAGGTTGATCAGAAGGATTTTCCACTTTGGTGTTGCTTTCTTTCTTTCATAAATCCAGTGGTTCGAAATGCATCATCCTGTGATTACTGGTAGTGAGCCTATCACAAATATATATATATACCTGCAGTCCAACTGCCCCGGGCACCAACGTGGGATATAGGTACCATGACACCTTAAATCCAACCAGAGTTGTGGAACCTCGGCTGGTTGGTCGGGGCTGGACCACCATACTTGTATTATATTCCACCATTTTCAATTTTCTGTGGTTCTGGGTGAAGAGCATACCTGTTCTGGATGTAGTGTAGTGTTCCTCATTTTTATACCACTTCTTTCTATGTAGACGCTTTCTGTATGATCTCTGTCCTCACCGGCCTACCACTTCCTCAATCTGGGATTCTAGCTATTAGTGTCAGCAGAGGTATGTATGTTTTGGAAGTTACCATTTTCCTAAACTGAAAACGTATTTCCAAACATACTTACCTCTGCTGACACTCCTCCCCCCCCCTTCCTCCCCACTAAGAGCCGGTGTTAGTGACCAGAATGTAGTAAGTCTTGAAAAAGTGATTTTATTGTCTGCATACAGTGCTTATATACAATACCTGCATAAAGGGTGTGTGAGGGGCAGCGTAAAGTTTTGCAAATTAGATATTGCCGAGGGCAGTCGAGTGGGGTATATAAAGACTGGAGCAAGCGAACACAACATTAGATGGCAATAATGAAGATCGAAAAATACATTTTCAGTTTAGGAAAATGATAACCCCTGAGTGAAGATGTGTTTCACTCTCTCTCTCTCTCTGCGCTTCATCTAAATTTTACAAATAAGCTAAAAAGCTTCCCAGTAGCATAAAAAACCATATTTGCAGATTGTTTTCAGTGCATCAATAAAGATTATTGCTGTTCATTGTTTTACACAATTCTTATCCTTTGCTGCCCATGCTTGATTTATTCCTTACAAACTATTTCTTGAATCTTCTTTGTATTATGGATCTTGATATCTGCCTGTTGTACATCAGTGAGCCTGAATGCCACACAGAAAACTATTTCTAAACTATGTAATTTCCACCTGTTCCAGAGTGTCCTGGACGTTTTTATTGTGATGTGGATGGTTATGTATTAATGTAATTAAGAGTGTGGCTGAAAACAAACTTACCTAACTAACAATTTAAAAAAAAATAACAAGTGAAATACATAGTGAAATTAATTATAAAACAAAATAACTTTGTTGAAACATTCACCAAAGAGGTAGAAAGGTATAAAATACTTATATTTTCATATGGTTGACATACAATGTTTTGGGGAAATGCCCTTCCTTTTACCAGAGAAAGGGTACCTGCTGAAAATATAAATGTTTTATACTTTACTATCTCTCTGATGAATTAATTAGCTCAATCTGTTCACTATAAGTCATATCTCTTTACTAGTTTACATTATGAACCATCTTAATCTCATCTAGCAAAAAGTATTTTTGGCTAAATCTAAGTAATTAATTTAGACCCACTTTATACCTCTTGGCATATAATACTGCCAATAAATTAGATTTAACTATATTTTATTGTTAATCTATTTCAATTTCTATTCACTGTTTAGCTTGCTTCTGTTCAAAAGTAATTCAATAATTCATCTGGTACCCAATTATTCATAGTATATCTATCTGTGCAGTAATGATATTAAAATGGACTTTTATCATGTGACAGTGCAAAATTGAAGTAGAAATAAAAACCAAGAATGATTTATTATTATTATTTCTCTATAATATTAACTATGTGTGCATAGAATGTACCATTTGAAAAGCAGGTATTGCATTGCTTGTAAGCAAACACACACACACACACACACACACACTTTTAGCATTATAAAATTGAAAAATGTCTTGCCAAGGGTCATTTGACTAAAATGTTGACCACTTAACTGTTTTAACTTTTTTTTGTATTTTCAGATTACAATTCTTATGCTTGTGTAGTGGTTAAATATTAAATATATGATATGTCAGAATTTGTCTTCTTAAGTTTGCCATGAGAAACACTGAAAATTAATGTTAACCTTTCTATGGATCTCCTAGATTTAAGTGAGTTACCAGAAAAATTGTGTAAAAGAGTTGCAGAACTTGCTGAGGCTGAAGAAAGACCTCTAGGAGATAAAGATGGAAGGCAGGTGACACTTACAACAATAAAAAAAGATGGAGAAGCACAGCCAGTTGTTACCACAATTTCCAGTACTGACACATCTAAAACATATCCTGTTGAGAAACACATAGTAAGAGGTAGGTAAGAAACAACTCTTGGAGGTATTGGTACAAGTATTGTTAGGTAACGCTGATTAACTTACTGTATAATTTAGTATCAACACACAACACTATATTAGGATAGTCACTCAAAAGTGTATTAAGTACAGTTACCCAGTGGGCATTGTTGAACTTACAGGGGATTACCACATAATGTAAGACTATTGCACAGCTTTGTATGTGAGTACCATCTGTATTTAAATGAAGTTTTTATTGTTTAATCAAAATATATGTGTATCATATAATTTATGTATACACATTAATTACACATTGGATATTAATGTACTACCATGTTACAGAATTTGAGACAAGTATTTTTCACAGTTATTATAATAATGAAAATAAATGTAACATAACAGTTTAACTGAATGACATATTACTAATAGTTCAGAGTGAGCCAGTCATTAAACATTAAGACAAGTGTGTGAGACATTACTGCTTTTTTGTCCTTTTACCTCTTACTATATGCACATTTCTCTTCTTAAAGATGCACTATGTTTTTCTTGTGAAACGTGTTCAGCTCAGTTAACGTTTGCTAATGTATTTTATTATCTTAACTTAAGAATTTCATATATGTAATTGTTCTTTATTTAATGAATTATTAATACTGTGCTAGTGCGTACTGCACACTGTCTTTTATTTATATATAATTTTGTTTAATGATACTAGTAATACATTTATGAAGTATATGTCTGTATTGAATATGTATTTAAAGTTAAAAAAGCCAAAGTTTTTTGTACATGAATAGGAGTTCTGACCACATTTAACCTTTTTTTTTGAAAGAAAATTAGTTTAACAAAAGGTGTATTATAAGCTTTGGAAATTTTCACTTGTGATAACATCTCATAACAAAATTAATGAATGATATATGTATTTGCATAATTTAAATTTCAGCCACATTACAGAGTAATTACTCTATAAATATAGATTTGAAGTTAAAATAAATTGTTGTGGATATAAAGTTTGAAAATAGTCATAAGTGTAAAGAAAATAAGTGTCCAGTATATATATATACATTATAGAGGTGTATGTGTAATTAAACTTTTAGGTTGTCAAGAAATTAATGTTGCTTTTTTTTAGATGAAAAAACTCGACCAACTTGTATATCAAAACAAAACATTTATTAAATGAAATAGTCTCCATTCTTACCAATGATGTTTTCCATCTTACAATCAGGTTGTTAATGCCCTGATTAAAGAAACCACTTTGTTTTGAAGCAAAAACTTGACAATGTTCTCTTTAACACCTTCCACATTTGCATACATTTTCCCATTATGATGGTGTTGCAGCAGACGAAAAAAGATGGTAATCTGATGGTGCCATATCTGG